AAGTCTTTTTTTGTCTCAAATTACATAAGACATATACTTGCAATCATGTCATGATGTAGGTTAACAAATTGTATTAGGGAGAATCCAATATGGCGGTCAAACCTTTAATATGGTGGCCAAATTTTTTTAAATTGATCGATTTGTAACAAATTTAGTTTACGGGGATTGTTTGGGTTGCTATTCACGAATTTGGGATAAAGTTTGCCACACTCAAGATGGCAAATTCAAAATGGCGGCCTCAAATTTTGGAAATGAACGGATTAATACTAGATTTGTAGTGCTCCAAATTTTTGGCCACCAAAAGAGCCGTAGACTTTAAAAATTAATTAGGGTTTTTAAGAAAACTTCAAGATGGTTGATTCAATATGGCGAGAAACTTTTTAAAGATTGATGAATTTCATATTTTAAAAAATACTATATGATTCTCTATAGCATTCCAAGCAAGAATTTTTTTTCTGATTCTTAATTATAATTGTCGTTTAAAAAAAAAAAATTTATGTATTTAACAGAGTTTTTTAGCTTGATAAATTTGCACATGTATGATAAAATTGTGTTGGTTAGCTTATTACGAAATGGAGGTCTGTTGTTAAATTATTGTAAATGGCTACAAGCAATACTGATTCGATAGTATTTTTATTAAAAATAATCTATAAATATTGCGTACAACTCAAAAATGTTTTAGCTTCCGAGTACCTTATTATCTTTCAAGACTTTTTCTCTACAATAAAAGCATGCCCATTCTGAATATTTTTTACCGTGGGAGCTGTATTGAATTGTTTATTCAAATTCTTTCTATTTTCTTAAGAAGTGATGCACTATAGTTCAAATTTTTTTGTAGCCCATTCTAAGAGATCGTTTGATGTTAAGAGTGCTTTTGTGGCTTTTGCCTGCAAACTTGCGCGAGTAGCTTTCCGTTTAAAAGTTGCACCTAAACCATCGCAAGCCCCTTTACCGTGTGCTGTAGCATGCATGTACTATTCTGCAGTAATACTAAAATCAGATTCATGATAAATTAAGCTGCACATTTACAAGTGATTTTTATAATGCTACTTGGCTCTCTCTGTCACATAAATAATTTTCTTTAATTCAGGAACAATTTTTCTTATTCCAGGTATCAACAGCTGTTGTAAAACGTAAACAGCTGCGGTATCATGCGACGTTGAAGAAGATAGTAGAATAAAACTTTAATGCTTTATATCGTCTTTGGATTTATAATAAAAAACTGCAGGATGTACCGTACATTGCTCATTATTGTAATGAAAGGCTTGAGCTGCGTTTTGTGCCACATAAGCGTAGTTTTCAGAAAAGTCACAGTAAAGTAATACTTTACCTTTTTTAAAGGTGTTCTTTCGCTCTAAAATGAAACTTGCTTGATTATTACTGATAAAATGATGAGGTAATAATTTCTCCTTTAATTTACACAACTTCTCCACAAAGTCCTCAATCTGTAACTGTACCTGTATTATATCACGTACACTTAGTAAAATTGATAGACATGCTAATGGGGCCCTACCAAGGATGTTCTACAGTAGCGTATTGACACAAAAGTGCTTCTAGTGTAGAAGTGCAGTACTAACTCCGTGGGTACAAATGCATGCTTCGGTACACGTTATCGGATTCTAATTTAAATGTCATCTTATATTAAATATCTAAAAACTGACAAAACATTGACTTTTTCTACTTCATTCTGCAATACTACTGTCATATGTTTGTTAAACTCCAATCTGACTACGTCTATCGAAGCACTTATATAAACCCCAGAAGACGAATTCAACTCGAACCTTAAGTCACATTCGAGTGTATGATGAAGCCAACAATCGTAGACAACAACCGTACAATCACCAAGTGCGTGTTTAGTTATAATATCAAAGAATAATATAATAGATTTATCATAAATTATGTACTAGTCAGTAATAAGGACGTATTAATATTTGCTACCTAAGACCCCAGCAAATGTTAATTGGTACCTGGCGGATGCTCAATCGATTTTACGCTGATATCCTAAAGCAGTAAATGATGATGTCTCTCTATATCGGTACAAAACATGCAAATTTGTCAGGCTGAAAACCTTCTTCAAATTTATCAAATTTTATTTGAAAACAGCAATTTCATTCAATAATTAGCAATTGATATTTCGTGCTTGAATTTTGTTTTACATAAGATTTACTTCTTTTTTTAAAACTGTTTGGTTTTTGATAAGTTGTCCGCCATGGTAGATCCACCATTTTTAATTTTTCAACATCTGATTTCGGATTTGTAGCCATTGCTTACAACTACCTAATTAATCTACAAACTTTTGCATGCGGCAATTTCTTTTAATTTGAATATGAATAACTGAATTATGCAAATTTATCAAGCTATAAAACTTTTCTAAATACATGAATGCATAAAAACTATATGATATACTGTAATCTGGGATATTGGATCGCAAAGCATATATGTATACATATACATACAAGTATAACAAAATACTTCCGTATACCTCTGCTCCGTATGATTTTTCGTAAGGAATAAGAAGGATTGTCCTTTTATAATTGTGAGTATAATAATAATTTTATACATTAATAATTTGTACTAAGTTTATATATATATATACATATACAAATGAATAAATTTTAACGTCAGTGTAAAGTATATATTAAATAGAAAATGAAATCATCAAAGTTAAACATAAATCAGCGAAAATTCATTCCAATTGGAGTTAAAACCAAAAAACAGACTGAAAATCATTAAAATTTGATGTTTACCATAAATTTATAGGTTAGATTTAGATTTTACTGACTTCTCTATAGTTTTTCTTCGTTCCTTATTATAAAAGGAAGAGAATAAAAAAAGAATTTCTTATACATCTATCGATAATCGCGAGATATTTATTTATTAATACATAGTACGTTCTATAAAATTTTTTTTTTTGTAAATAATATATAACTGTGTGCATAAATTTCTTAGTTATAATGCAATAAAAATCGTATGAATTTCTCCTGATAATGTGACATACTTTCTTGAGTCATCGTATAAAGCCTTAATAAACCACAAAGAATTATTTTTCGACAGCCCTTTTTTTAATTAGAAGAATTATATGACACATAATGACATATAAGAACATGGTTTTGAATGTTGGTTTTCTAATCTCCACTGCACTAATCTGTATGTTATCTTAATAGTCATAAAAGCATCATTTCATAGTAAAATAATGAAGGTTTTTCCAAGTATAGACCAACAAGGTTTAAACTTTGACTTTAAGAATTAATAATATTCGTAATAGAAGCTAAAAGATAATTGAATTCTCTATAAAATAAACAGCAGTGAAAAAGTATTTGAAATAACATTATTCGTTGGGTAATCATAGTGATTAAATGATTTGAAACTATTTTTAGCAATAAAACAATAAGCTAATGTTTTCTATAGATAAGTTTTTTCTGAATCTTTAGGGCCATCTATAAAATAAATTATATTATCTTTCTTGAATATGTTATCAAAAATTATTTTTAGTATCCGTTACTATCATACTTTTTCATACTAACAGTTTATTACGTAACAAATCTGTGGAAGCTTGCAGTTACGCATCCAATTTTGCGTGATAAGAATACAAAATAGGGTGAGTATTTTGCATAGTGTTACAGTTTTATTATTCATCTTGATGAGTTTTTTTTTCAAATCTCAACTCTTGTCTTGCTTTAGCTTGTATGTAACAAAATATAAAATTTTGAATTGTGTTTATGCCTTTATCATTCTTTTTAAACATACTCATAGCGCTTATGTATTTAGAGACAATTGTAAATTTAGGTCTATCTGGTTTTTTGTTTATAAAAAAATAAATTCTATGGTTGACTTTTTTAAAAGAAAGACATCTAAATGTTAACGCTAGGTGAATCCAACAATTTTTTTAATAAAGTTATCAAAAGGGTAACAATAACATTCACTAGTAAAAAAATCCTTATTGCTATATAGTACTACTCTGTTAATGTTATTGTTGGATATTCGTAGACAACTCAGTTGATGTACACTGTACACTTGTGCGTCTCGATTAATTAATACGAGGAATGAAGTATACAAGAAACTTTACATTTGTGAAAGGTACGAATAAAAATTTAAGACTATACCTGCAACAAACTGTATGTAGCACTTGCGCTTGTGCAGTGTATGAGATTGTTCATGGGAAAGCTGAATCCTTGTATGATTGCGTTGAAGATACCATTTTTTTCGCCCTATATAAATATTGTTGCAAACACCTTTCTAATGTACTTACATAAGTGACACGTGTAACTTTGGGACGCGCATTAGTTATTTTGTTCTACTTACCTATAGCCTTTTTTTAGAATGTCGACTCTGGCTTTGCGGTTTTTACTTTTTTGAAGTTTTTGGGACAGTGAAACGAACTGAAAGTTTTTTTTTTTTACCGGGTTATCGCGACAGCTCTTAGGCCAAGTCGCCGGGGCCACCTACTCACCACCTATGTGTGGGGGTGTATGTTTTCCAACCCTTTTTACTGATGTTATCCCTAATTTATGGGTACAGTGCGAAGTATCTCCGGTGAAACACCTTACTAGTTAAGCTGACACTCTTTGCACCAATGGTGCATCGGGTCCACTCGCCACTGTGTAGTCTTTCCTCGAAGAGGACCCCAAATTTCAGGATGTCCGCTCTTCGCCGATTAAGTCGGAGCTCTCTGTCGAAGCATCGGATCCAGGCTAATTAGCATCTCCGAAGAAGCCCCATGTTTTAGGGACCACTCTTCGCCGGTAAGTCCAGCGATCCCTGCCTGGCGCATCGGATCCACTAATCCCTACCTCCTTATACTGTTTTGCATTAACACATGCCCGAAGACCTGTGTATGTATTTATATTTTACATACAATGTTGTATGGACTGCTAGATACAGAAAGGCAGGACCTTACTATCGTGCTGAAAAGAATATCTTAATTTGGTGTCGATAAAAAGCATTAAGTATAGAGTACAAAAATGCAATATTTTTGTGGCATATGGAATCAATTGCTAGAATTTTATAAATACAAGAATGTTTTATTTTAATCATACAGAATTAAATGATGAATTCGTTGATCTTCTTGTATCACACGACGGTCCGATGCCATAGTATGTAAAATAATCTCAATGAATTTCTTTTATATTATTGCACTGCATTTTTTGTTTTTCTAACTGCATCCTGAAAATAGTTTAAAACATGTACTATACTCGAAAAGTTATACTTATATAAATACAATTGTTATAAATATTGTGATGTACGAACTAAATTTTGATTTTCCTGTTAGGTTAACTAGTTTTTTGCTACGTGCACAACTTTGGAATAGCATCTGCGTCGAAAATTTTGCAAAACTTTTGTTAGCATAAGCATAATATCAATAGATATGCTTGATTTCATATACATGCAATCACATGCTTATATTATAGAATTTTTAAGCAGAATCAGCAATAAGCCCTTCCTTAACAGCCCTAAAGTGCAACACCTCACAAAAAAATTGAGAGTGTAAGTAAAAGCACTAGTAACTGGACGCTTAGTAGTTAAAAAGTATTTGAACTTACAGTTTACTTGAAAAATACAACACATGGTTGAAAGTTGTAATGTTTGATCTTAAATTATACTATAAGGAATACGATAAATTGAAAAAATATATATTATACGCGATAATGTAGATAGTACATGAGGAAAACAAAACGTATGAAGAGCACTAGCACCTGGACAAGCAAATCACAGGTGTACTAGTGTCCCGAATTTTATGTACTATTAACTGGATACACATTGACCTATGAAAATTTTAGCACTCGTGTGATTGAAAGAAAGTATTCGAAGCTAAATAATTTTCATAGTTATGAAAATCATACAATTGAATGTGTGTTTGGTCAATACCTTAATTCTACAGGAAAATAAAATCAGTTTCATTCTGTTCTTAGCTGAAATTTTAAATTTAATGTAGATTTGTAGTTAAATATTTGTTAACAATCAAAAGATTAAGTATATCACTTTATTTAATTCTTATAATCATGAGATCAAGTACAAAATGAGCTTATAATTATCATTATAATTTAAATAACATTTACAAGGAAGTCAAAGCTTCAATCGCATTAAAATTTTTAAAGGTATATCACATAATGTTCATTCATAATGATAACACTACTCTGTTTTCTCTACCATTTTTTTTCCTTCTAGGGGGAGAAAATCTTTTTGTTGAGCTAGAAGTTTTTTGATCTCTTCATCGATTTTCTTTTTTTCTTCCACAGCAGTTTGACAAGCGCTTTTTTTTCTTGGTCTTTCTTTCTTTTTTTTTTTTTTTCTTGTTTTTATTTTTTTCGGTCTTCTACTTCCTGATTTTTCAAAAATTTAGTTTCTATGTTTTTTAACTCTTGCTTCTGCCACTCATCGCCAGTCAACATTGGTCGCAAAGCTTTCGGTTTATTTTTTCGTACCTTCGATAAGATAAGTTCCAAATTGGCAGGTATGACAAGGGAATCACTTAGATGCGGGCTGAGTGTCTTTGTGAAATCGCAAGATTCTGGTGACATGTCTACACCTTCGCATCGTCACATATCATTAATGACAATATGATAGAATCAGAAAACGTGTGTAAGTATACCTTATTGTGAGCATTCTTCAGTTGGCAGTGATGATGAAGGTATCGGATTCCTTTTAATATTCATTAGGGCTGGTTGACTCTCTTCTTCTGTACCACGTCTATTTGTTAAACCTAAGGGTGTCAATACATGGTCAATTTTTTTATCATCGCACTATTGTTTTCGTTTATTTCTTTATCCTTTATACGTGGGATTTCAGAAATATCAAAATTATTTGAAAGGGATATTTCAGAAACATCAACTATGTCAATTGTGGATTCGTTGGGTTCTAGAATAATTTTCTGTTAGTTATGGTTAAGAAAAAAAAATTAAAGTTTGTAAAGATCGTACCTTTAGAATGTATTGCAAGTGTTTCACGATCTGCATCGAAATTTGGAACACTATGATTGTTTTTTATTCGTATTGTTGCTCGTGGTTCTACCGTAGATTTTTCTGGACTGATTAAATTGGCTTTTCCCGTTTGCTGTTTTGGCAAGTCTGTTAAAATGTAAGTCAAACAAAAGTCATAATTATCTTACAGAAAGTACAAGAAAAAATAAAAAATTTACTTAATTCAGGCGATATGACCTGATTTGGACTTGTACATGGAAATTCAATTGAAATATCTTTGAAGTGGAAACCACACGCACCGCAGTGAAGAAACCACTTGTCAATTTGAGTTTCTTCGTCATGTGTTAAAAAAGTAGATGAAACTCGAACGGCTTTGACTTGAATGGTAAAGATATTTTTTGCATGCAGTGTACTTCAGCGAACATTATATAATATCGAAGCTGATCTCAACGATGTTCCCTTTTGAATACTATCAAGCGTCTTCTACACTTTATCTTTAGTGTATTTAGTGACGTTACTCTTTTTCTCAACATATTTACCCTTCTTTTTCTTTTTTTGCGGACTCATGATGTGGAACTGCAACAATTGAATTGCATACACAAATTTGAAAAATGCCTTCGTAAAATCAAGAAGAAAACAAACTAGGAAAGTTTTTTCAGCTGCAGCTGCACTTACAGATCTTTCACCAACGCTCTGAAATACATGATTTCTTCTTTTAGAAAATAAAAAGACAAGTTTTTTACCATGTAAATAATGAAATATGTTATCTACTTTTACAAAGTTCTTAGAATTTGATGATCTTATACTTTTACTTTATGTCAGTACTTAATACCTACTTTTAAACATTTATTTTCTTACTTTAGATTCAGAATGTAGTGGTTGTGTAGGTTATGTAAAAATAAATACATAAAGTAAGACGTATAAAACTGCACACACGCGTGTTTCGATAACTTAATAATCATAAATGCTAATGCTCTTTAATATGAATATTTATTATCAATATTTACTTAGCTAATAGATAGAAAGTAGACAAAACAAGGTTCTACCTATTTTTTTATTGTATGACAGTAAGTACGTCCAGCAACTCGTACACAACTAAAGCATGATAAAAAGCAGTTGAATGAATAAGTGGACGGGTGTCCTAAAACACGTGCACAGTACACTCTATTGAACTAGTAAATAGACACTTAAATTTTTAATGAAAACAACGATAAATTAATATAATTTAACATTTCAATTAATTTTTCACCTGGAAATCAGCTTATTAAAACTATACTTTCAGTATTTGATTAGAGATTCATTGAAATATCTCTTAAATAAAATTCAGTCCAAGCCTCAGATATTGGTTGAGGATCACATAGTCGTCCCAAACACACACAAGACGAACATTTGATGAGTTTATTATTAATATCTAAATCATAAATATAATAAAATAATGTATTTATAAGACTTGAAAACCATCATGGAATATACACTGTCCACAATTTTTTATTTTTAAACCATAAATTTCTTAATATTTACTGACTGTTACATGGGTGCCCAGCTACTAGTCACGTCTAATTACTAATGCTTTTACCTTAGTCCAATTTTTTCGTTTTTTCAAGTCATGAGAATTTGAGTTAAAATTCTCAGAGCTTCTTCACCGTCTATTTCGAGAGTCCCGATACCCCCTCACCCCGCAAAGTGAATTTCGCATGCGCATGTTGAGTATCAGATTATTTGTATACCAAACATTCCATTTTCATAGATGGAAGATATATCATTAATTTTACGATGGTACTTTTGATTAAGAATGTTACATAGCTTCCTATAATGGTTCGTATGAGGAAGTGCTTCGTTAGAAAAAATTTGTTTGATAATAGGTTTTAAAATTTAGGTAAAAATTTTTTTTAACTTAAATAAAAATGACTCGTATAAAGTCATAAAATATCATGATGAGCAATAGTAAGATAGAGATCCACAGAAAAAGTTATAATTTTGGCGTACAAAGATCTGTAAAGCAGCTTTTACGAGTGAGAGGCAACGCCAACGTAAGAGCATGTATTAAATAAATGCTTATTGATGGATATTTTCAAAGTCACCCGCATTTAAGTAAAAAAAAAAAAAAAAAAAAAAAAAAAAATACTATTGTGAGAACTAATTTGTGTCTATATCGTAGTTGACATACACAGGATATTCTTCTTATCGCTAGATAGTTACGATAGCTATAAAAAAATTACATACTTTAGTTGTAATATTTCTATAACTGAAGTTATCGATCATTTGATTTTACGAAAACAAAATATTTTTTCAATTTTCAAGAAAAACAATATGTAGTATTAATATATAACTTTACATTTACTTCTTTTTAATTTTATTACTTTTCCAGAGGCCATGTATTGAATTGGTAATTTCTGATACCAATTATAATCAAATAAATTTTGTTATATTTGTTAATTTGGAAGCGCACACGTCAAGTAAATTTATCTTCAAGTTCCCTTCTTATATAGCTCAAGTCAAGTTAATCCGGCAAAATAAGATTCATATTGTACAGCCCACTCTATTATCAAGTCAATTTCGTACAAGGTTCTTTGAGCAGGATTCCTTGGCTAGCTGTGAGGGGGATAGGGGCTTAGCTTGAGATTGTCTAGCAATCTTGACAACATCGTATACATTGAAAATAGTATGTATCGTATCAAGATTGCAACGTATACAGGGCTTTTATGTATTCTATGCCCTTCATTTCTAACTTCCTAGTTCTATTCCCGTAATCATCATCCTATTTTCCCAAGTATGCGAGTCCTTCATACAGGCCCCTAGCAAAGTTTGTCTCAGATGACTTGATTATCCATCCTACAGGGTACTATTGACAGGGCACAGCGATTGCCTCAAGCACACCCTGGCTATATACAAGTTTCATGGAAAGATATTTTTCCGATTAACCTTTGAACTTACTGTACTGACCTTCTTATAACCAACAGTGACTTTACCCGATGAGCTGGCCAGGTGTCGACTTTTCTTCAGAAAGGAAGCCCCTTAAGATCCAGTCATCACCAGAAGAATTGATAATTTCTTTAGAAAATCGTAAAAGTGATGTTTTGGGCACCCTGGGCACTCATCTCATCAGAAAAAACCGAGAAAATAATCTCGATAATTTTCAACAGGATTCGAACCCACGATCCCTCGAGTATCTTTAGCTAAGAGGCTAGCACGATAGCTACTAAGCCATCGAAGCTGTTTGACTACATCGAGTAAGTTCCATCTAAA